TTAACTTACATAATAATCAAATCTTCTTGAAAATTAAATAAGACGATAAAATAATCATTTGGTGAACTTTCAAAGATCATTCTGCATCAAGTTCAGTTTAATTCAATAAAAATCTAATCGTTATATAACTATATTTCTTCGTCTATTTAAACTATGGTGATACAAAATTCATTCCACTCTAAATATGTCAAAAAGTATCAAACTATAGTATTTTTTTTTACATAGAAACAATTACTAACATCATTCATCCCCCTAAATTTAATCCCAAGCAACTACAAAAATAAAAAAATAACGAAAAGCATATAACAATAACAACAAAGATACATGTGGCATCTGTACAAGTTAACTCTTCACAAGTAACGAATATGAATAAAAAAACAGTAATAACATATGAAATTGCATCAGTACAACAACAGAAAATACATAACAGAGTTTCAATTAATTTTAATAATTAAAGTTCAACAACAACAAATAACAGAAATGAAAGTCCATATCAAAGTAGAACAAGACATATTATAACCAAAACATAACTCAACATTAACAAAAACATTTTAAACAACAAGAGTAATAGTCAAGTGAAACCAACAAAAATATCTCATGAGCACAAGCAATAGCTAGCTCAATCATCACCTCCCTCATCTTCTCCTCCTCCACCTTCTCCTCCTTTTTCTTCCTCTTCGTCTTCCCCCTCATCTTCTTCCATAGGTTAGTGAGTGTTTCATAAGGCTGATACGGAGAGTAAGTTGAAAAAACAATCAGGTTCTCTTCTCCTAAGCATTGGTTTCTCCTATACATCACTAATTAGGTTGCCTGATAATTTTCCATATAATCAAATTGATATTTGTTTTGTCAATCCATATGCGCCACTCGGTCTGACAAAGCATACACCTCTACCTATATAATGGAGGTATCATCCTCTAGCCTCTCCAATCGCTCAACTATTGAAGCCATACAATTAGATGGGTATGGCTTAGAGGTAAAGGAGGAAGGTCGGGAGATATCATGAGAGGGGATTTTTCATAGCTTTTACAAAGATATTTACACATAGTTATACTCTATATTTTTATTCATTGAATGAATGAGAATATCTACAATGTGACTAATATGATTATTGTGGTTATTTTGATTGATTTCTTATAGATTTGATATGGATTTCTATGAATATCATGAGTACAACTATGTTGTATTATTGTATTTTTTAGAATAACATAGTTGTATTTTATATTTTTATTTATTAAATGAAAGGGAATACCTTAATTGTGATTTAGATGTTTGTATTAATTTTTTTGAATATTTTTTTAATTTTTATTTGAATTTCATGTAGTACAATATGGTTGTACTACATACTTTTACTCATTGAATGAATGAGAATATATGAATTGTGATTGCAATATTTATTTTAGTTATTTTGAATGTTTTTTTTTTAGATTTATATGTAATTCGATAGATATCTTGTGTACAATCATGTTGTACTCTTGCATTTTGCAATACAACATGATTGTACTTCATATTTTTTATTTATTAAATGAAAGAGAATAACTTAATTGTAACACAAATGGTTGAAATAATTATTTTGAATGATTTTTTATAATGATGATATTGTTGTACTCATATATATTTTTAGTACAACATGATTATACTTCTTGTTTTTATTCATTGAAAGAGTATGCATAAATTTTTCTTTGAAGAAAGAGTATAACTTCTTCAAATAACATATTACAGGTTTCTTTGGTATAGGGTTGTTTTTAAATTTTGGAACAATTTTAGATTGGTTACATTTAAAATCCTCATCATATTCATTCCATCTTTATTTATTCATGTCCTTCTTCTATCCTAAGAAATAATCAGTGATAGAGCTTGTACGCTTAGAGATTTCATGATAAACATTTTTTATAGAGTCACTCATTTAACTAAACATGACCATGAAGATTTTTTCTGTCATCTCGGGTCATGGTTGCTCATACTCCTATTTTGAATCACATTCACTAGTACATTTGTAAAATAGTTTTTATATTATTTTTTAACTCGTACATTTGTAAAATAGTCTTTGTATTATTTTCTTACTAGTGAAGCAATGCACTCTTGATGGAATCTTCTTAGAGATAGGGGGTAAGAGGCAATGCAACTTCTATAGCTTTCCTCATTGTTTGATCTTGATCAATGATAGTTATTAAATGTTACTAATCATTCATTGGGAACGACTCTTCTGATAAAAAAATTAGTTCAAATAAAATATTTTATCAATGATGACCATTCCTAACAAAAAGTGCATAAATTAAATTATACTTAATAAGTTGATAACTTTATAAAAATTATCACATCTCTGGAGCAATAATAGTCAATCACTGTCATGAAATCGTTAAAAAAAATTAATTGATCTATTTGGCTCATACAAACGTATTATCTCAATAATTATTCTTTTCTCCCTTTTGGACATAATTAAATGTGACTTTTTAAAAAAATCTCACATTCAATTCTCTACTCCTATTTTCTCAATAAGCTACCTGAAGGTACCAACCACTCTAATTTCAATGGGTCTTTAACCACGACACAACTGCTTTCCCTTTATTGATGCCCCGATATGATCTTAAAATATGTTAATCACCTAGTTTTGTCAATGAATGATTATGATATTTTATAAATTTATTAACCTTTTAATTACCTCCCTGATCAACGATAAATCTAATCTTTGTAGGATAACTAGTTCTAGTATCTATTTTTCGAAACTTCGCTTTGCTATTTATATTATGAACTTTCTTAAAATTATTTTTTTAGCATAATTTTTTTTTTTTTTGGTTTTATATCCTTTATGATTGACTATTAACTGACATGATCCTTTCGAACACCAAATTATATGTGATATGCATAAATAGAGTAGAAAGCATATCCATTGATCATTTTGATTTATAAACAACAATTCCAAATAATTTTTTGTAATCGGTTCATAATACGTAGGAAATGGATATAATTGGATGGATGTTCTTACATCGAGACATACTTTTGTTACCCTTAAAAATTATTATACAACTTGCACAGTGTGTATAACTGCATAACGTGTCCAACATGCACAACACGTATAATATGTATAATGAGTATAACGTATACAACGAGTACAACATCTATAATTTATAGAACATTGTACATATTATACTTGTTGTATTCATTGTATCCTTTGTACACATCGTACAAGTAGCCTTCTTTTAGATTTAGCATTTATCTAGTCTTAAATATAATTAATCCACAAAGGTGACATACAAATGAAGACATGTTCTCACAAATATAATTAGATTCTGCATTTCCTTACATTGCTCACAGATCCTAATTTTAAACGGGTCGAAGCCGGATAAGTGCCAATCCTAGATTGGCATCCGAGCGCGATTCTACCTCCAGATTCCGCACATACTATTTTCTGTTCACTTCGAGCCAATTTGCTATCTTTCACAGCCGACTTAGATCCAACAAAACTAACTTTTCCTTGCTTCTTACCTAATAAAAAATGAGAGATGTGAAAGTAAGAAAGCAGCAATTCCCTTCCAAGTCATTAACATTTGAAAGGCAAGTTAGCTGAACAAACACCACAATCCCTGCAGCATAACGGAAATGAACTGTAACATATGATTTGATCAGCCATATTTTATTCAGAAGGAAGATGCTCCCTTGGTTGACAAAACAGGATACTAGAAGATGGCCCCAGTTCGTTTGATTTAGTTTTCTGGGTATGCTGCCAACCCTCTTTTACTCTTCTATAGAAAAATCAAACTTCCATGGACTAATCATGTTATTAACAATTTAATAATTTGAAATGAACAAAGAATATGGTGATGGCCACGGCGATAGCTTCCTGAATTGAATTGTCTTCATTCAACGTTAATAGAATTGGTTTTAATTTCCCAGGTCTACTGGTCCATAAAACTCATGCCAACTGCACCACGAAAGACACACCAAGAGTACAGCAATATAATATTTATAAAAATTTACATAAAATTTTCTTTCTAATATTATTTATATATTGTCTGAGAAGAATTTTTGCTATTCATCTCATGAAGTGGTTACGTGACGGCATAGGAGTTCTAATTTAACTTCCTTTTAGAAGTACAGTATTTCTCTATCATTAACTATGGATTTATTTACTGTAATTTTTTCAAGGATGCAGGGCACCTTATCGTTTCTAATATAAACATGATTACAAAATTATATATTATGTCTGTCCACAGTGTCTTGATGAAAAGATCGTTATTTTAGGTGTCGAGCGGGCGTCATAAATGAAAATGAACACATGCACTCTTATGTAATGATGATCTTTTTCGGTAGCGGGTTTGCCCCGGGCTAGTCATACCACTTCTGAAGGTGGGTTGGTTATATCGCTTCGTCAGATGGGTTTGGTTCCACCACTTTGACAGGTGGGGTTGGTTCTTTTCATGCGCCTCCAAAGCCCCCAAGTTCTATTGATCATTTCGTCTTGCTCATCTATAAAACTGTCTCAAATACGTACGACTATATTTTGGTATATTGATAACATGATCAATTCTTACAAAAAAAATAAATAAATGGAGGTGTGGGAGAGTTAATCATCCCTCCCAATTGAATCATGGGTCCTGGTTTCATGAAGAGCTCATGCAAAACTGAATAAAAGTTTAATTTTACTATAAAAGGCAGAAAAAGAAATAATAATAATAATAATAACACAAATGGACCCATAAGATATGATTTAATGGAAAGCAATGTTTATAATGATGTCTCCGTCCTCACAAGTCCAAATTCCAATGTGGAAACTTGTGAAATAAGCATTGCTGAAATACTGCACGTCCAGGCCAGTGGGTGCAACAACTCCTACACCCTTCATCCCCAAATAAATAAAACCATTCAAATTTTAAAAAAACATCTGCTCCTAAACTCTAAATCATCAAAACCTAATCCGGCCAACCTCAAACAACCCCATGCCCTTCTTCTTCTTATATAAGTACTGCATCCCCTTCTCTCTTTCCATTCAACAACGAGCTCAGCTTCTTCTTCAAGCTTATTCCTCCGAAGCTGAACATGGAAGCTCTCCCGTCCAGTTCTTCAAGGCAAAGCCTGCTCTTCTTCTTCCTCATTGCCTTTTCTCTCCTCCTCCTCCTTCCCAGCTCCAATGCTGCAGTCCACTACCATGACTTCATTGTACGTGTCACCTACTCTAAGCTTATTTAGGCTATATATGGTGTTTTATAACTTTGGTTGGTTTACATTAGGTCCAAGAAACGCCAGTGAAGAAGCTGTGCAAAACCCATAACATCATCACCGTTAATGGCCAGCTCCCCGGGCCGACCCTTGTGGTGCGCAATGGCGATACATTGGTGGTCAAGGTGGTCAACCGGGGTCAATACAATGTCACAATACACTGGTACAAATCTTTACTTGTACACATGACATATGTACATGTAAGGGTTTATGTAATATGAATTTGTGAAAGTTTTTATATTTTGATGTTTGTAGGCATGGGGTTCGACAGATGAGGACCGCATGGGCCGATGGACCTGAATTCGTGACTCAGTGTCCGATTAGACCGGGCGGACATTACACATATAAGTTCACGATTAAGGGTCAAGAAGGAACGTTATGGTGGCATGCACATAGCTCATGGCTTCGGGCGACCGTGTATGGAGCTCTTATTATTCTCCCGGAGAAGGATAAGGGTTATCCTTTCGCCAAGCCGGATAGACAATTTCCTATCATACTTGGTAATTGTTAATCTTTTATTTATTAGAAAGCTTTAATTTTGATTAGTGTGCTAAGTTTTTCTTTTTTAGGAAGCTCTAATGATAATGTATGTGTGATTCGAACTCGTGATACACGATAGAAAACTAATTAAATCCCCAAACACTATAATACAAGTAAGAACTCCTAATGTGTTAAGTTTGGTAATTAAATTTGTTAGTAGTGTTTTTACAAGAGAGACACAGAGAGCATGCATTAGCCTAGGGCCCACCCCACCAAAGAGTATAATTTGACCATATGCTGTGGTATTATTAACACTTGGCAAGAAATGAGAACTTATGATGGCTTCAAGACATGCTTCACACTTTTTTCCCCAAGGAACAAAAAAAGATCATTTTTATCATCTGATATCCACTTTTTTGGAATATTAGAATTTAGACCCTTGCAAATATTTGTCATTAGCACGTTATAATTCAAATGCAAAGTAGCAACATTTTATAATGCTATTTATTCGAGGGTTTTGAATGGCCCCACCACCAAAAGTTGTTATTGACAATAATTCCTACCCTATAAAAAGCAAAGTAAAATAACATAATTTCAAAATCTAGGCTTTTCAAAAGTCGTTTGGTAACTGCCTCTATTTGCTAAAATAGCTGTCTTTTAAAAAGTCAGATTTTTATTCTTTACTCCTCAATTTATAAAATTAAAATCAATATTATTCTAATTTAATCAATTAAATAATTTTTTTAATAAATCCCAACATTTTTAAATTAAAAAAAATTAATTACACACATACCACATGAAATATCAATATTTATAAATTAATCCTCTAGATGATTTGTTTGAACTACCGAATAAAAGAGGGTGGTTTATTTGTAAATAGCAAGTTCTTGGTGGTGGTCTTTATGTAATTGCCTTTTATTTGTAATTTGCTTTTTAACTAACATAAGCTCTCGTTTCTACCGACAACCAACAAAACTCAGGTGAATGGTGGAACCGAGATCCCATCTCCGTCGTCCGCCAAGCCACCTTCACCGGCGCCGCCCCCAACGTCTCCGACGCCTTCACCATCAACGGCGAACCAGGCGACCTCTACAACTGCTCTTCCCCAACCACCACCATCTTCCCCATCAAACAGGGAACCACCAACCTCCTCCGCTTCATCAACGCCGCCCTCAACACTGAGCTCTTCATCTCCATCGCCGGACACTCCGTCACAGTCGTCGGCGCCGACGCTTCCTACACCAAACCCTTTACCACCTCCGTCCTCATGCTCGCCCCCGGCCAAACCACCGACGTCCTCCTCACCGCCAACCAACCCCCTTCCCGCTACTACATCGCCGCCCACGCTTACTCCAGCGCCCAAGGCGTCGCCTTTGACAACACCACCACCACCGCCATCCTCCAATACGATTGCGGCTGCTTCCCCAAATCCAACCCCCCCTCCTTCCCTCTCCTCCCCGCCTTCAACGATACAAACACCGCAACCTCTTTCTCAAGAAAGTTCGCCAGTCCTTCCACTGTTCAAATCCCATCCCCTGTTACCGATAACCTTTTCTTCACCGTCGGATTAGGCCTCCTCCCCTGCCAGCCCGGAAGAACATGCGGCGGCCCCAACGGCACTCGCTTTGCCGCCAGCATAAACAACGTCTCATTCGTTCTCCCATCAGCCGTCTCCATCCTGCAAGCACACGAGCTCGGTGTCAACGGTGTTTTCAACACCGACTTCCCTTCTTCCCCTCCGATTCAATTCGACTACACCGGAAACGTGAGCCGCGCGCTCTGGCAGCCGGTGCCGGCAACTAAAGTTTACAAATTGAAATACGGAGCGGTGGTTGAGTTGGTGTTGCAGGGGACGAGCATTGTGACGGCGGAGAACCATCCGATACATCTCCATGGATATGATTTCTATATTCTGGCCGAAGGATTTGGAAACTTTAATCGGGCGACGGATACGGCGAAGTTTAATTTGGTGAATCCGCCGCTGAGGAACACGGTGGGGGTGCCGGTGAACGGGTGGGCGGTGGTGAGATTTGTGGCGGATAATCCGGGGGTGTGGCTTCTTCATTGCCATTTGGATGTGCATATTACTTGGGGGTTAGCAATGGCGTTCTTGGTGGAGAATGGTCTCGGAGAGCTGGAGGCGTTGGAGCCGCCGCCGTTGGATTTGCCGCCGTGCTAGAAGGACTGGAGGGAGATGAGGAACGAGGGATTACAAAAAATGTGTTTTTTTCTTAAACGGAAATTTATATAAATGGCACCCAATTTTTATGTATTTATATATCTAACACCAAAGTTTTGATTTTTATATCCTAAACATCTTTTCCTATGTATTTCAAATATAGGAAAATATGATTTAGGTGTAAAAATCAAAACTTGGGTGTGAGATAAATAAATGCACAAGAATTGGGCGCTATATATGTAAATTTCCCTTTTTTATTTTTATTTATTATTATTAATTTTTATTTTGTGGTATTGGTGACCGTTTATTGAAGATTTCAATTATCTAATTTGCATTATTTTTATGTTTATGATTTGTCTTGTCACAACATGTTTGGTCTAGTAATAAAGATATTTATTTTTGATAAAAGTGGCGTTTTGATGTGTTTTTGTGAATTTTGGGAGAGGTGTGGAGGAAAAGGGTTTGATGGATTGATAGTGGTTGTATTATTTGAAACACATTGTAGCATTTAAGTGTAAGTTTAGTTCTAAATTGAGGTTGCTTTATTAATTATTAATGCAAAAATTAATTTATTGAATAATCAGTTGATAAGCTGATTAAAAATAATCTGCTGATAAGCTAGGTGCGGTTAAATTTTTATTTTTTTAAAAAAGTTTTTTTAAAAAAGTCATATCACTGCCAGAAAGCTCCCACCGCATCTATCTAGGGGCGGTGTGAAAACGCTATTTTCAGCGTTTTCAAAACGCATAAGCTGTCAAATGCAGTTTACTCAAACAAGTCAGGTGCATTTTCAAAACGTCACCACACCAAATAAGCTGCGCTAAACGGACCCTTAATCATCTTAATTGAGTTTTTGGAAAGCAAGGTATATATAAGATGTTAGGCTTTTAAAATAAAAAATTATCAGTACATATTTAAAATTTACTTTTTTCATGCATAGATAGATGGCATACATGCAAAATTTGAAGTTTAGATGTTAGAAATGTAAATGCATATGAATTGAGTGGCATGTAAGTAAATCTTCCCCCAACAAAATTGGACATAATTTAGTGTAATTTGGTCCCATGCTATGATAGATGATTGTACAATAATGAAAAATACAAATAGTTAGACAGTTCATTTTTTTTTAGCAGTAAATTGTGCTTCACAGGAGCTGTGTTGTTGTAATTGTTGTGATTGTTATTAACAAAAATGATAATTATTGCAATTATTATAATATTTAATAAAATTAATAAGAACAATAACTTTCTTGTAGCTACCAAACTACCAATTTTAGTTATAAAACTAGTGAATAGAAAAAAAAAATTCATTTTTTAACTCTTTAGCTGTCTCAAAATATATCCTTTGAGACTTTTGATGTGATTTAGTTCAGACATAAACTAAAAGTTTTTTCGAAGATTTACTTACAACTCAATACTTATTTATTTTTATATTTAACACCTAAACTCTAATTTTTAACATGCTCACGACCTTATCTGTATGTATGTAAAGGGTTCTCATTTACCCGTTTGTTGGTCATAAAACTAGTATGGTTCTTATTAAAATTGATGACGGATCTCACCCCATGCCCCTTATTAACAGGAGATTTTTGAAGAGATATTATGCTTAGGCATCCTCTGTATTTGAAATATATATATATACCGACGTCC